ATATGTTGACAAACAGTTGCTGCTACTGCAGCAGCAGCAGCAGCAACAAGCAGTTCGTGCTGCTGCTGCAGCAGCAGCAGCAGCAGCAGCAAGCTTCAAAATAATTATTGTTTGTTGCGGCTACCGCCGCTCCCTCGGCTGCTCGCCCTACCCCCCCTCCCTCTAAACCCTAAACCCTAAACCCTAGAAAGACGCAAACCCTCCCTTCTGCTGCTGCCGCGGCGATTATCCGCTGCCGCGACGCTAAACAGACAATTAGGGTTTACTAGGGTTTAGGGTTTGCTAGGGTTTCCCTAGGGTTTCCTAGGAATAATTAGGGTTTAGGGTTTAGGGTTTACGACCTTCTAATCCTCCTCGCTAGATGTAAATCCCTCGGCAAGATAGGAATTCTTTCCTCCCTTCCTATTAGGGTTTACTAGGGTTTACTAGGGTTAGGGCTAGGGTTTAGGGTTTATGACCTTCTTATCCTCCTAGCTAAATGTAAATCCTTAGGCATAAGAGTAATTCTTTTTGCATGCAATGCGCATAAATTTGAATCCTCAAAAAGCCCCGTCAAAAATGCCTCAGCAGCAGACTGTAATGCCTCTAACGCTGTACACGTAAATCTGCATGCATGCATGCATCCATGCACCCAAACCCTAAACCCTAAACCCTAATTTTTTTTTTTTTTTTTTATTTTTTTATTTATATTGGGATGGATCGGGATCGGGGAGGAAGGGGAGGGGAAAAAGCGGAGAAAAAAAAGAGAAAAATTAGGGGTTATTTTTATCATATTATTTAAACCCTAGAAACCCTAGAAACCCTAAACCCTAAACCCTAAACCCTTACCTGTACATTCCTGCATAAGGAGGAGTAAATTTTTGTGCAACTTCGCGAACAAGACGAAAGAAAGGAGAACGAGGAATTAACAGTTCTGTAGAATTCTGCAATAAACACCAAACCCTAAACCCTAAACCCTAAACCCTAAACCCTAGATTTCCTTTCCTATATATTTTATTATTATTTATTATTAAATTAAACCCTACTAAACCCTAATAAAAAAACACTAATTTCTCTCTTATTCAAAATAACCTACCTCCCTAAACCCTAAACCCTCAAACCCTAAACCCTAAACCCTAAACCCTCACCCTGTATTTACGAATTTCCTTTAATGCCTTAACCCCTGGATGAGCACGAGGACGACCTGATGCTGTTAGGGGCCTCCTGCCTGGGGGCCCCCTGGGGGCCCCCCTTGATTTGCTGCTAGTAGCTCTATGGGGAGAACTATCGCTCTCCATGCTGCTGCTGAGCTGCTGCTGCTGCTGCTGCTGCTGACGCTGGCGATGCCCTGCTGCAGCCCCGCCACGAGCTGGCGGGGGTTTGACGCGCGCCATTGAGACGAGGGTTTAGGGTTTAGGGTTTAGGGTTTAGGGGGGTAAGCGGCTATGGGCTGTCGCCGCTCTCATTGCCCTTATAAAGACATGTCAATATACACCCGAAGCAGCAGCAGCAGCAACAGCAGCAGCAGCAGCAGCAGCAGATGGAGATACACCTCAGATAAAAGAAAAAATAAATTAAAAACTAAAAATAATTTAAAAGAAAAATAGATGAAAATACGAAAAAAAACGATGCATGCAGCAGCAGCAGCAGCTGCTGCTGCAGCAGCAGCAGCAGCAGCAGCAGGGCTGCGGTGTCTGCGCAGCTTATAAACACCCATGGGGCTTCGGCTGTCGATTTTTCTTTTATTTTTTATTTAAATAAAAAAAAATAAATAAATTATTAATTAATTAATTGATTAATTTATTTATTTTTATTTTTTACCTAATATTTATCCTTTTATAGGCAACATTTCCCCTTTTATGCCCTCAGCTGCCCGCAGCCGACACCCTCCAGCAGCAGCAGCAACAGCAGCAGCAGCAACAGCAGCAGCAACAGCAGCAGCAGCTAGATAATTCATATAAAAGAAAAGATTAATTAGTAAGTTAGTTGACGATAAAAAAAAGAGGCAGCAGCCAACACTTTCTCCTCTTGCTGCTGCCGCCGACAGCAAACCCTAAACCCTAAACCCTAAAAAACAAACCCTAAACCCTAAACCCTAAACCCTAGGCGGTTGACAAGTGAGGGTTTGGGGTTTTGGCGTTGTCTTCATTTCTATGACATTGGGAAGGCCGAGCCTGCATGCAGAAGAAAACCCTAAACCCTAAACCCTAAACCCTAAACCCTAAATAATCCAGACCACAAGCCCTGCAACTCAAACCCTAAACCCTAAACCCTAAACCCTAAACGTACCTGCTTAAGGCCTCAGCTAGCTGCGCTCTTTCTCGAGGGTTTATGGTTGTCTGCAGCAGCAAAACCCTCTCCGTGCACAGCAGCAGCAGCAGCTGCTGCAGTGCCGCCTGCAGCTCCCCGCCTGAGTACACAAACCCTAAACCCTAAACCCTAAACCCTAACAACAACGCTCGTCAGTGCAGCTGACACAGAGGATACTGCTACCTAGGGTTTAGGGTTTAGGAGGGTTTAGGGTTTAGGGTTTATACCTTCAGGTGCCCGTGCCTTCAAGGCAGCAGCAAAAGAAAACAGAGACAAACAACCCCTCACCCCGAAGCTGCTGCTGCTGCTGCTGCTGCTACCTGCTGCTGTTGCTGCTGTTTCTGCTGCTGCAGCAGCAGATTCTTCCTGCAGCAGCTTTACGATGCGTCTGAGGAAAGTTGTCACCCAGTTAGTGCGCAACAGCAAACCCTCAGCTGCTTCTGCTGCTGCTGCTGCTTCTGCTGCTGCTGCTGCTTCTGCTGCTGTTGCTGCTTCTGTGCTTCCCTGCTGTGCTGCTGCTGCAACAGGTGCTGCTGGCAGCAGCAGCAGCAGCAAATCTGTTAGAAGGATTGCATCTGTTGGTGTTATTGCTGCTATCCGTGTCTCCGTTAAATGCTGCTGCAGCAGCACAAGCGCAACCTGCAGCAGCAGCAGCGGTAGCTGCTGCTGCTGCTGTTGCTGCTGTTGCCCTGCAGCAGCAGCACTGCAGCAACTCTTTCCTATTGCTAACAACGCCTTACATACAGAACACAAACCCCTAATACCTAACAGAGATACCTGCTGCTGCTGCTGCTGTTGCTGCTGCTGCTGCTGCTGCTTCTGTTGGTCTCCGGCAGCAGCAGCAACAGGTGCAGCAGCAACAGAAGGTGCAGCAGCAGCAGCAGGGGGTCTGCTTCCTGCAAGAGCCTTTAGCCGTTCCTGGAGAGACTGCAGGTATGCGAGCTGCTGCTGCTGTGCCTCCTTGTCTGCTGCTGCTGTTGCTGCTGCTGCTGCTGCTGTTAAGGAAATGATTCGCTCTGCAGCAGCAGCAGCAAGCTGTATATGCGGAGGCTTACGAGATGCAGCAGCAACAAGAAGAGCTGCTGCTACTGGCATGTCTGCAGCACCTGCTGCTGCTGCTGCTGCTGCAGGCGTTGCTGCTGCTGCAGGTGCTGCTGCTGCAGCAGAGGTTGTTGCTGCTCCTCCTGGCCGTTGCTGCAGCAACAGTAGCCTGGCTCTGTCTGCTAGAGAGCGCATGCATGCAGCAACTTGCTGCTGCTGCTGCTGCTGCAGACAATTAATAGGGAAGGAAGCAGCAGCATCTAAGGAGACAGCTAGCTGCTGCAGAGACACAGAAGGAAGTATTTGCTGCTGCCGCTGCAGCAGCAGCAGCAGCAGCTCGCCTGTCTCTTGCCAGTCTGCCTCGCTCCTATTGTTGCTGCTGTAGGTGCCTATCAATATATCTGCTGCTGTTGCTGGGTTGCTGCTGCTGCTGCTGCTGCTGTTGGCTAGCGCATGCAGCTCAACAGCAACAGCAGCAGAATTAAGTCTTAGTGCCCGCCTAAATAGACCTGCCCTCCTTGTTTGCTGCTGCGCTGCTGCAGCAATTGCTGCTCTTGCTGCAGTGCGCGGCAGCAGCTGCTGCACCCTCTCAGGCAATTGCTGCCGTAGCTGCTGCTCCTGCTGCTGTTGCTGCTGCTGCTGCTGCATAGCCTGCAGCTGTTTGTGCTTCCCCCATGGTAGTACTGAGGGTTGTGGGGCCCCACATGTCTTCTGCTGCTCTTGCTGCTGTTGCTGCTGCTGCTGTTGCTGCTGCTGCTGTAGCTGCTGCTGCTGCAGGGGCTCCTCCCCATGTGCTGCTGCTGCAGCACACAGTTGCCGGATACTCAACCGTGCTGCTGCTAGGGTACAGATAGGGGGGCCCCCCAGGCTGCTGCCTAGAGGGGGCCCCCTTGAGGGTAGCAGCAAATTATATAAAAGACAATTCCTTAAAGAGTAATAAACATTTTTGCTTCCTAGGGAGCCTCCCGCTGCTGCTGCTGTTGCTACTGCTGCTGCTGCTGTTGCTGCGGCTGCTGATGAGCGCATTGGCTGGCGTCGGCAGCAGAAAATGATAAACCCTAGACCCCAAACCCTAAACCCTAAACACTAAACCCTAAACCCTAAATAAAAAAACCTTTATTAATGGAGAAAAACCACCAACTGCTGCTGGGGGCCCCTCCGAAGGGTACTAGGGTCTGGCAGGGGGCCCCCTCTCCGTAAACTCTCAACCCTCAACCCTAAACCCTAAACCCTAGAGTGTACCCAAAACCCTAAACCCTAGACAGCAAAAAATTTGCTTAGACTATAAAGTGTGTTGTTACTTAGTATCTTATATTTGACTCCTTCTAACTACGGTTTAGGGTTTAGGGTTTAGGAAGGCCGGGTTAGTGTTTAGGGTTTAGAGTTCGTCTAGGGTTTAGGGCTTTTCGAGGGTTTAGGGTTCAAGGAGGTTGATTAAGGGTTTTGCAAGGGTTTAGGGTTTTATATAAGACACCCTAAACCCTATATAAACCACCAGCTGTCCATACACTCAGTGTTTAAGGGTTTAGGGTTTAGGGTACAGCTAGCTAGGGTTTGCTATAGCTAGCTAGGGTTAGCAGACAGGCGGCGACGGATTGTGGTGGGGAGTAGAAGACAAGGGTTTAGGGTTTAGGGTTTATTCTGTTGGTTGGTTATGTAGGAGAACTACGCAGACTAAACACTAAACCCTAAACCCTAGCGCTAAACCCTCAACCCTTACGCTAGACACTACCCCCTAGCTCTAAACCCTAAACCCTAAACCCTAAACCCTAATATCTGTGTGTAAGAGATGCTTGTTAATGAGAGAAAAGATGAAACAATTAGGGTTTAGGGTTTAGGGTTTGTATAGAAGGAAGAGTTATATGTTGTACATATAAACAAAAACACACTAAACCCTAAACCGCCATTAGGGTTTAGGGTTTAGGGTTTAGGGTTGTTAATAGTACATAGACTCTTCCTTCAGGCACAAAAGTTGCTGCTGCTCTTTTTTCTTGCTGCTGCATTAGCATCATCAACAGCAGCACGAGCAGCTGCAGCTGCAGCTGCAGCAGCAGCAACAGCAGCAACAGCAGCAGCAACAATTGCTGCTGCTAGTGTTTAGATAATAAGGAAGTTGTATCATGTATGTCCTCCCCTTCGCTGTCTCCCCCTCTGCCCATCTCTACTTGCTGCCTTTTTTTGCTGCTGCTATAGCAGCAGCTGCTGCTGCTGTTACTGTTACTGCTGCTGCTGCTGCTGCAGCTGCTGCTGCTGCTGCAGTGTGCATGCGCTGCACCTCTCTTATGCTTAAGCTTATGTGCTAATGAATTACTTGTTAGCAGCATGCATGCACCGCATATAGACAGCAGCGTATGGTGTGCTGCTGCTGCATCTAGTACAGCAGCAAACCATGTCTGCTGCTGCTGCTGCTGCTGCTGCTGCTGCTGGTGATCGTGGTGGTGGTCATCGTGCTGTTTCTGCTGTTCCTGAGGTAAATCAAGACCTCCTGCTGCTGCTGTTGCTGTTGCTGTTGCTGCTGCTGCTGCTGCTGCTGCTGCTGCATCGTGACCATGACAACTTAAGTGCGACAGCAGCACCAGCAGCAAACCTACAAACCCTAGCAGCAGCAAACCCTTGTGCTGCAGCTGCAGATAGTTAGCAGCAACAGCAAAACCTCCTAAGGGTAACACCATATATAATGCCACCTGCAGCAGCAGCAACAACAGCAACAGCAGCAGCAACAACAGCAGCAGCAGCATGTAAGAGTAGCACAGCAAGTATAGGAAGTAAGCAGCAGCAGCAAGTGCCAACTAGTGGCAGCTAAGTAGCTAGCTAATTAGACAGTAGTAGCTAGCTAGCTAGCCAGCTAGCTAGCTAGCTAGCTAGCTAGCCAGCTAGTTAGCCAACCACCTAGCTACCCTTGGCTAGCTAGCTATCCAGCTAGCCAACTAGCTAGCCAACTTGCTAGCCAGCTAGCCAGCTAGCCAACTAGCTAGCCAGCTAGCCAACTAGCCAGCTAGCTAGCTAGCTAGCTAGCTAGCTAGCTAGCTAGGTAATGAATAATTGAATAGACTTACACATCTAGTAGCATAATGTACAAAATGTAGATGTTGTGTATCAGCAATAACACCAAGAAAAGGAGTTAAAAAAGAAAGAAGAGGCAAAAGGGTGCAATCTAATGCACATAATAAGGCAGAAAAATTACTCCATTCCGATAAACCCCACCTTTGTAACACACTCACAAACCCTAAACCCTAAACCCTAAACCCTAAACCCTAAACCCTAAAAATTTATATTTTTATAATAAATACTAAATTATCTATAAAATATAATTAAACAGAAAAATTACTCCATTCGCACAAACCCCACCTTTATAACACACACAAATATCAAACCCTAAACCCTAAACCCTAAACCCTAAACCCTAAACCCTAAACCCTAGAAATATGAATTTTTTTATTTATAAAGGAAATTTATATAATAAACACTTAATAGTCTAATATACATAATAAGGCTAAACCCCACCTTTATAACACACACACAAACCCTAAACCCTAAACCCTAAACCCTAAGCCCTAAACCCTAAACCCTAGAAACGTACTTCATAATATTGAGGGTTGGGCCAGGATGATGCTGAAGAAACAACACAGCAGACGCAGCAGACGCAAACCCTAAACCCTAAACCCTAAACCCTAATCGCTACTCAACCTTGCGCCCAGTATAGATAGAAACCCTTCTCAATGTGATTAAAGGGAAAGGGTTTAGGGTCTAGGGTTTAGGGTTTACTACCTTGTGCTGCGATTCTCCGTACATCTTCCTCTGCCTTTTCATTCTGTCTGCAGAAGATTCCTTGCTGCTGCTGCAGTTGCTGCTGCAGTTGTTGCTGCTGCTGCAGTTGCGGCTGCTGTTGTTGCTGCTGCTGTCAGGCTTGTTGTTGCTGTTGCTGCTGTTGTTGCTGTTGCTGCTGCTAGCTGCAGCAGCTGCGCTCTCCTCCTTAACCTTTGTATGGGTATGAAGCAGCAGGTATTGCTGCTGTTGCTGCAGTTGCTGCAGTTGCTGCAGCAGCAGCTGCTGCTGTTGCAACGAGGCCAGAGGGAGCAGCAGAAGCTGTTGCTGCTGCTTAAGGAAGCAGGTGTTAGACCTAGCAGCAGAAGAAGAAGAAGCAGCAGCACGTGCAGCAGCAGGTGCAGCAGCAGCAGCAGCAGAAGGAAAGGGGAGAGGAGGAGGATAAGTTAGACTTGCTGCTGCTGCTGCAACGCGAACAGCAGCAAAAGAAGATAAACACTTAAGGTGAGGATACACTAGAGTTCTCTGTGGCCCCACAAGGTGTATATACACCCGAAGCATCTGTATGGCTGACCAGCTCGCTGCTGTGTCAGTAAACCCTAAACCCTAAACCCTAAACCCTAAACCCTAAACCCTAAACCCTAAACCCTCGGCCAAAGGTTGTTAATTTAATATGACATCCAAAGAAAAGAGACACAAAGAAGAAGGCTTCTTTTAAGTTCAACAGGGAGAAGCAAACCCTAAACCCTAAACCCTAAACCCTAAACCCGCGGGCGGGTAGCCGGTCGGCTGCAGCCCCAAACCGTCAAACCCTTTGAGCGTTAAACCCTAAACCCTAAACCCTAAACCCTAGAGATTAGGTATTTTAATTTTATGTTTTTTTTCTTTTTGTAAATCTTCTTATCGGCCTCCTTGTGGCAGCAAAGGTCTTTGAGTCTGCCTTTTTAGGCCTTATGGTTTAGGGTTTAGGGTTTAGGGTTTAGGGTTTAGGGTTTAGGGTTTAGGGTTTATTTAGGGTTTAGGGTTTATTTAGGGTTTAGGCTTTATCTGTCTTCTTTTTTTATCGCACATTTATCCTGGGCTTGTAGGGTTTGAGGGATATTCACTGTGCGGCGGCTTTAGGGTTTAGGGTTTAGGGTTTATCTAGGGTTTAGGTTTTTTTTATGACACTGGTGTTTGTATGACCGTTCGTTTTGGTCTTTTTCTTCCCCAAACCCTAAACCCTAAACCCTAAACCCTAATTTTGTTCTTTGACGCCCACTGTTCTGTCCGATGGATAAGTAAACCCTTTTTTAATGTTGTATATATAAATTTCCCTATTATAAACCCTAAACCCTAAACCCTAAACCCTAATTAAAATTCATATAAAACCCTTTGTTAATGGTAATATTAATATTGTGTTGTACATATATATATAGACTTAATTAAGGGTTTAGGGTTTAGGGTTTAGGGTTTAGGGTTTATAGGTATATAATGGCGGATTTAGCATTAAGAGATGCGGATAGTTTTGCTGCAGCAGAGTATGCAAGAGATGGATATAGATGGGAGGGTTTAGGGTTTAGGGTTTTAGGGTTTACTAAAGAATCAATAAAGGGTTTACTAAACACTTATTCATGTTTTATATTAGATATAGATGGTGTATTATTATGGGGGAATAAACCCTTAATAGGAGCTGCCTATACACTCCAATTATTAAGAAAAAAAAAAAAAAAAATTATATTTATTACTAATACTGCATCTAAATCTAGACAATCATGTCTTGAGGGTTTACGGAGGGCAGGCATAGAGGCATATAAGCATGAGGTACATATACACCCCAAAACCCTAAACCCTAAACCCTAATTCCTGATATTCACACCCTAAACCCTTATTTTATACCCATACACACTCCCTATACACCACAAAACCCTAATTCTTTATTCCTTAGTAGCAGCAGCAGCAGCAGCAGCAGCAGCAGCATCAGTTAATTAATTTATGTATATGTGTGTGTGTGTGTGCTGTTGCTGTTGCTGTTGCTGTTGCTGCTGCTGCTGCTGCTGCTGCTGTTAGATAATAACGATGGCATATGCTGCTGCAGTGTATGTGCAGCAAATGCATGCAGATATATCTTGTGTCTTTGCTATAGGAGAGAAAGCCCTAAAGGAAGAGTTTGCTGCTGCAGGTATAGATTTATTATTAACAGAGGATCATGACCAACAGATACAGCAGCAGCAGCAACAGCAGCAGCAGCAGCAGCAGCAGCAGCAGCAGCAGGTGCAGCTGCAGCAGCACGAATTGTATGGGGATCGACTCGATCCCAGGGTGGGGCTGGTTGTTGTTGGTTGGGATCGTCTCCTTACATATAATAAAATAACACTTGCATGCCTTTATTTACAACAAAAAATTAAGAAAAAAAAACACAAACAGCAGCAGCAGCAGCAGCAGCAGCAGCAGCAAGTGCAGCAGCTGCAGCAAGTGCAGCACCAAGTGCAGCAGCAAGGGGAGAAGAAGGAGGAGACAAACAGTAATAACAATGAATATATAAACAAAGAAAGACACAAACAACAACAGCAACAGCAGCAACAGCAGCAGCAACAACAACAGACCCATCAAAATAATCAGCAGCAGCAGCAGCAGCAGCAGCAGCAGCAGGAGCAGCAGCAGCAGCAACAAGAGGAAGAGGAAGAAGAATATGAATATATAGATATGCCTTTTATTAGTACAAATAAAGATAAATATAATAAAATAAGATGCATGCGTTATCCAGCTAATGGCATGCAAATAGCAGCAATAGAAAGTGTTATAGATAGACAATCTATTTGTATAGGGAAAGAATCTTATTGGCTAGCTAGCTGGCTAGCTAGCCAGCTAGCTAACCAAGATATAGCTAGCCAACAGCAGCAACAGCCGCAGCAGCAACAGCAGC